ACTGCAGTCACTGTCACCTCTGGGACCTGGGAAACAGGCACATGGCAAGGATGGTGCCAGCACTGAGGGACAAACCACACAGGGAAGAGCAGTGTCCCACAGGCACCTACCATCACTGCCCACAGGCTGTGTCTCTCCCTCAGTGCCAGCCCAATCCATCACTGGGAGCCCATGGGCAGAGTCCCTTTGCCCAAAGCTCCTTTTGCCCAGAAAGAAACATCCAAGAGCAGGAGAAAGGCAAAAGGCCAAATCCCCACTCACAGCCTCCTTGGAATTGTGACTCTCCCTGTCACCCATCATCAGCTCTTAGCTTGGTCCAGCTCAGTTCAGAGCAGGAGCTCCCAAACCTCCCATGGAGACAACCCCATCTCACTGAAGGGCTGCGTCAAAACAACATTCAAAATGTTGAGGAAGAGCATGGAGGAAGCAGAACCCTTCCATAAGGAGAAATGAAATTTTATAAGGAATAGCACAGAGATGAAGTAAAATCAGGAAGTCTTCATCCTGGCTTTGAGCAAATTTTGAAGTTGAACTGAATAAATGCCTTCAAAGAGCCGAACTCTGATCAAACACTGCTGTGTTTGGCAAGGAGCAGCCAAAACCACATCTAAAGCTCAACATATGTGCCGGTCCCGGTAATGCTTCCTGCAAGTGGTGACAGAGGAATGGAACATGAAATCCTGCCCTGCTGGCCTTAACCCTTTGGACAGGTAAAGCTTCTCTTGCTGAGCTGCTCTGCCTGTTCTGGGAGTGTGGGGTCTGCTCCACTGGGGAAAGGCTGGCTCCCCCAGGCTGCTGGAGAAGGAATGGGAATGGTCAGATGGGAACCAGGAGCCCAGGAGGACAGGGACTTGCAGGAGTCCTGTGCTGCTGCTGTCCTTTGCCCAGGAGTGCAGGTCAGGACCCCTCTCCCCACTGTCCATAGCCCCTCCTGCTCCCCAGGCCAGGAGTCCCTCTGGCCCCGCACGCTCCTCAGCACATGTGGGCAGTTCCCCATCCTGTCCCAGCTCTTTCCAAATCTCTCTCGTGCTGCCATGGCTCAAGCCCCCTTGCAGCCACGTGCTGGGGCTACTTAGGGACGACAGGAGCTGGGTTGGGCCTGTGAGCAAGGACATCAGCCATTTTGCCATCTGCAAGGAAATCCAGACACATCTGTGTTCCCCAGTGCCATTACCAGCCCGGGAATTCCCCGGGCAGCTTGTGCCAGTGCCAGAGGCATGACTGCTGCTGCTCTCCAGCCTTCCACTGGCAGGGGTATGTGGGTTGGGGAAGCACCAGGGAAAACCCGAGGTCTCAGCAAGAAACGTTGAGTGGCCTGCCTGCATTTGGAAAGAACCAGGAAAGAGAAGTCATCAGCCCAAAATAAAACCTCCCTTACCCATTTCCAGCCAGGACAAGTTCATTGTCACCCACAGAACTGGGCTGTGGTCAGGACCTGTGGCAACTGTGGTTGTCCCCAGACCAACAGGGACTTCACCAGAGTTCAGAGAAACCCTTTCATCAATGTATGGGGAACTGCAGCTCCTGCCCACTGCACCGCGTGTGGTATCAAAGGCTGATGCTTTCCACTGTCACCTGCACATCTCTGACAGCCTCTGACCCAGCAGCAACTAAAAATACAGCTGAGGAACATGTGGGGGCTCCTCCATGATTGTTTTCCCAGCTGCAGGCTCAGCATGACCCAGCCTCAGCTGTTCTTGGAGCTGGGAGGGCTCTGGGCCAGCGTGGGGTCGCCGCTGACGCCAGCCCTGACCACTTCATCCAACACAGACAGCAGGGACACCCGAGGACCCCAGAGCTCACAGAGCCAGAGCCCCGCAGGGCACAGCCAGCAGCAGATGTGCAGATGGCCCCTGGATGTGGAGATGTGGGCAGGAGCCACCAGGGTCCCACCAGGAGCCAGCTCCAGAGACCACCAGGGCTCACCACTGTCACCCTCCCTCCACCCCAACATCGCAGTGACATCCCAGGGGACCCTTGGGACCAGCACTGCACTCAGCCAAGGGCTGCATTCACCCAGACAGGCGGGCTCCTCTCGCAGCACGCCAGCCTGTCACACAGTCTGGGAGCCTCATGGGAGACAAAAGGGGACACAGAGAGCCGAGGGGGTTGATTTTGCAGAAAAGTAAAAATAAAAATGCAAGAATGGTGACCTCAGGCAGAGCCTAGGGGGATCTGAATGGTGGCTCTGTGCCGGAAGAGGGGCAGGGCAAGAGGCCACATGCAGCCTGTCCCAGCAGCTGCTCGGGACAAACAGGACATGGAGAACAGGAGCAGCAGAGGAGGGTGAGCTCATGGGGTGAGGGGCCCTGGGGACACCAGGGTGGCCCCCAGAAGCTCTGCCTTTTTCTGGACTTGCTCCCCAGCACCATAACTCCCAGCCTTGCTGTCTGAGGCTGGCCAGAGGGCATAGGAAACTACTTTGGGGGATGTGGGGATGCAAAGCTGGCCCTGCTGGTCACCTCTGTGGGTTGGCCCGGCTGAGCACAGGTGGCAAGAGACACCTCAAGGTGCAGGTGGGGAGCTGCTGTTCTGTGTGCAGGGTAGGGGGATCCCTCTGGACTCAGCTCCACATCTGTCTCTTCCTGCCCACCAGTACCACAGAGGAATTGATCCATTGTGCTGGTGCCAGGACACAGTCACACTGTCCTCCTCCCTGCCCTCAACACCCTCTCCTGGCCCTGCTATTCCAAGAGCCACAGCTCTTGGGTCCATTTCAGAGGTGACCATGTGATTCAAAAAGATCACAGCCTCGAGCTCACCTTCCCCTGCACTCAGAGGAACTGCGAAAAACCTGAAGCTGGTAAGTGAACTACCACAATTACAGGAGCAATTGGCTGCTGATGGGGATGGGGAGCTTCCCAGCTGGTCCCAGCTGGCACTGGGGATGCTGGCTTGGAGCCAAGGGTCAGTCCTGCTTTGGGCTCAGGTGGGTACCCCAGCCTGGTGCCCACGGCCAAGCCTCTGCCCACCCACAGGACCAGCACTCGTGATCCATGTGGCAGCGGGAGGGTCTCACCAGCTCCCAAGGAAATGGGAAGCAAATGCGAAGGCCTCGCTGGCGCCGTCCTCCCTCCCACACGCCAGCAGCCCAGCTGCACCTCCTCCCGTCTCGGCTTGTTTTCACAGCGTGTCCTTTGGCCACTGGCTGATCCCTGGACAAATGTTCACCAGCGAGACGGCCCCGGCAGCCTGCAGCCCACGCTGTGGCCGTCCCACCCACCCTGGTGCTTTCCCAGCCCCATCCCGGCCTTGAGCCCATTCCCACGAATGCAACAGTGGAAATGACTGCACCCCAAGCAAGGCACAGAGAGGCTGAGAGTGCTGGGCACTGTGCAGGGCTGGCAGAGCTGGTGATGCTGTGCTCACAGTGCCTGGGGCTGGAAGAAGTGTCTGTGCCCAGGAGTTGCAGGCTGTGTGGAGCAGCATTTTGCCTTAGGAAAGAACAAATCTGTGGCTTTGGCTCTTATGCTAGTTGTTTTTGTACAGCTCTGGTTGCTGAATCCCATGATCCTGCCCCTCAGTAGATCCTCCCCATCCCTGGAACAGTTCAAAGTCCCAAGAGAGGCACTCGCTGTCCTGATGCTGCACTTTTGGGGCAACTCAGGAATGGGAACTGGGAGCCATGGGATCCACCCAGGACATAAACCACTGCTGAGAGATCCCACTGACCCTGGATGGATTGGAAAAGAGGGACACTGCCGCACAAAACGCCTGTAGGAGCAAATCTGCAGACATGTACGCGTGTACAAACACATTCACACGTACACACACATGCACATACAGCTCTGTGTGCTCCCGGTGTGTTCCAGGACCCTTCGCCAGGAGCTGCTCACGGAGGAGGGGACGGCGGGGCCTGGGGGAGGACCCCCGGTACACTCTCCTCCTGCACCGCTCGGGGTCTCTTTCTCCCTCCACTCCGGTCCCATCCCCGCCCGCGGGGACACGCGGGGGGACTGTCCCGGGGGCCGAGCCTCGGGAGCGTGCGGGGGGCTCAGGAAAGCGGCCCCCGCCCCCGGCCCTCTCCGGGCCACCCCCGCCAGCTCCCTCCCGCCCCGCCCCGCCCCACTCCCGCTTTCTTCGCCGTTTCTTTCTTTTCCTTTTTTTTCTTTTTTTTTCTTTTCTTTCTTCTTTTCTTCCCCCAGAAGAGGCGCGGCGGGCGGAGGGGCCCGGGGCTGCCCGCCCCCGCCCGCGGCTCCGGAGGCGCCGGGAAGAGCCGCCGGCGGAACGGGGACCGGCCGGGAGCCCCGGGCCGGGGAGAGCCGGCGAGGAGGAGGAGGAGGAGGGACGGGACGGTCTGTGCCGCGGCCCCGGCCCCTCTGCCACTTCCTGGGAAACATGGTAATTCCTGGGGCATCCCGCTGCCTGCCGCTGCCCCTCCCCGTGGCTGCCGGTCCCGCGGGCACCGGGTGGGCACCGGGTGGGCACGGGAGCCACAGCAGAGGGAGGTCGGCAGCGAGAGCGGAAGGAGGTGCAAAGGCAGAGGTGGGTGGGGAGGTCGGTGTCAGGGCGGGGGTGAGTGGGAAGGCAGATGTGAAAATGGAGGCTGGGTGTGCAAAACTGGGGATCAGGTACGGAGGAGGACGTGGCCGCGGCCGCTCGGGCAGGTGTGTGCGGGGCTGCATCCTGCGATGCTTAAACTTCCCCGCAAAGTTTGTCAGGGGCCGGTGTGCAGCGCCGGGGATCAGCTGTGTGAGCTGCCAGCGCCGGGGATGCTCGCAGACCGGCGGATCGGCCCCGCAGCCGACACGTGCCGTTGCCCCGGGCTCTGAGCTGAGCCTCCGCTCTGGGCCGGGCTGAGCGCTCGCATCGTGCCCTGCCAAAGCTGGTGACGGCAAGGGCTGCGGAGAGCCAGAGGAATTGGTATTCAGGACTGGTCCCAGGCTCAAACCTCGCTCCTTCCTGAGCTGGTGGGAGAAAGGAGCTGGAGCTGAATCACCCTGTGGCTTTGGGTATGGGTTAAACAACTTTACCGCACCAAAACCCTAAAGCCCAGCTTGTCTTGTTGATGTAAACCAGTTTAAAAATATGGGTATTTGGGGAGAAATATCAATCTCTATTTAACAGCACTTTGCCTTATTAAAATGGAAATAGCTTTGCAAATGTAAATCTCCTTATGCTGCCTAATGCCTTTGTTCCAGCTCCCTCCCAGCTGGTGGAGGGGCTGCTTTTGGATTCCTATGGGCTCCTGGCCCGCCCGGATGTGGCTTCGCCTACAGACTCGGAGCCGCTGCACCATGGTTACCCCAAAAGCCACCCCCGGTGATGAAGTGCTTTGTGACACTCCATGAAAACATTTTTAGTCAGTCATTCCAGGCCAAAATATTCCCCAGCACAACTCAGGCTGTGTCTGGTGCCTCCATCAGTCCCTGGTTCTCTCCTGACACTGGCTCACGCAGTCCCTGCCAGTGGATGAAGTCCTGGGCGATGGGACAACAGGAAACAGCCTCAAGTGGTGCCAGGGGAGGGTTAGACTGGATACTAGAGAAAAATTTCTTCGCTGAATGAGTTGTCAAGCCCTGGCATGGGCTGCCCGGGCAATGGTGGAGTCACCACCCCTAGGAGGATTTAAAAGACCGTTGGAGGCAAGGCAGGCAGTTCTGGCTCAGCTCTCATGGCAGCATTCAGAGCTGGATGGATCCTCCTGTGCTGTTGTGGCTCCTCGCCTCGGTGTTGGGATGGGGAGGAAGTCCAGCCAGGTAGTGCTGAGCATGGAGGTGGGGGACACCAGCTCTCTGGCTTCTTCTGTCAGGTGCAGGGGCAGGAGATTCCTGTGCCGAGACATGGAAAAAAAGTCATGAAGAATTAACCAGAGCATGACTGCAAAGTGCTTTAGCTAAAGCGCATTAAAACTAATTAAATTGAATTAACGGTGTCCCTTTTTTCTCTGTATGGGCTCCTGGACCAGGGATTAGCTGCCTGAAAGTAATGCTCACCTTGAGCTAATCCCACCAGACTTCCTGGGGTGCTCTTACGGGAGCAGGACCCAGCTGCTTGGAGGATGCTCCTCTTCTCCACTCAGCAATGGGGTCCCCTTGATCGGTGTGCCAGACTCATCCCTGCACTGCCTGGAGCGCAGCCCGGGCATGATGCAGCCGTGGGATGGCTTCTCTCCATGTGCCAGCCATGCCACACAGCCGCCAACTCCTGCAGCACTGAGAACGAACTGGGAACTGCCGGTCCACAGGTGGCACAGACCCAGTGTCCTCACCCCACTCTGGGGCAGTGCGGCGGGAGGCAACGCGGCAGAACGCTTCCCAGAAAACAGAGGAATAATTTTGAGTTTGGCGAATTCAGCAATGAGTCTGGACCAAAACACCCTATCCATCTTCAGATGTTTGTCCTTCCTCCCATCTGCTGCATTCCTGCAGCGAGCCCGGCACAGCCCCACGCTCTGTCTGGTCTGACTCCGGTTTAACCCCTCGGCTGGCGGCCGAGCAAGGCGGTTGCTGCTCGGGGCTTATCCCAGGCTCCTTAACCACAGCCCAGCGCTGGGAACCGGACCTGCCCCGCGCCGTGCTTGCTGTGCTCCACTCCCGGTTCCCCCGGCTTCCACTCTAGGAGGGTTTGGAGCCCTTGTGCTCAGCAGCATTGCGCCAGTGGCACAGCGCAGCGTGGGATGGTGGGCAGAGACATCGGGTCGGGCGGAACGGTGTCTGTGCTGCGGGGATACTCTCCCACCAGTGACACTTGCCTCTCTCCCGCAGGATGCCGGGTCGCTGGATGCGGCGGTGCAAAGTGCTCTCCAGGCCCTCTACCCGCCCTTCGAAGCCACAGCTCCCACCGTCCTGGGCCAGGTGTTCCGGCTGCTGGAGAGCAGCTACCAGGGGGATGGCCTCTGCTGCCTGCTCCAGTTCCTCATCCCGGCCAAGCGGCTGTTCGAGCGCCTGCGGCAGGCGGCCTGTGTAAGCCCCCGTGCCCCAGTGAGCCTCTCCCAGACACGGGGGGTTTGCCCTAAGGAGTCTAAGGACACGCTGACCTGTGGGTTCCCTCCCTGCATGTCCACTCCTTGTCCCATCTGCTCCCTGCACAGGGGACCGTGGCACACCCAGCTCCCTGGGATTTGCCCAGCGTATGTGGTCCCTGCAATAAGGGCAGAAGGTACTCTGGGGTCATCTTGCCTTGATCCTAGAGAGGCTTAAGCAGGGGTTTCCCCTCTGTAACACATGGGTAGACTCTGCACTGTGGAATACCATGGCTCAGGGTGGGTTTGCAGGGCTGTGCTGCAGGGGCTTGGCTCAGAGATATGCATTGGGTCACCAGGCTCTTTCATCCTCATCATGGGAAACACAGGGCTGGGCAGCAGGAGTGTGTGGGGGTGGCTGGGAGGCACAGAGCTGGCAGGGCTCTCATGCACTGTGTTCTTCCTCCCTCCCAGGCTCCCTACTTTAACCGCATCTTTCTCCATGAAGGCTGGCCCTTATGTCTGCACGAGAAGGTGGTTGTGCACCTCGCACCGCTCAACCCCCTCCTGCTGCGCCCCGGGGACTTCTACCTGCAAGCAGAGCCCTGCGAGGAGCACACAGCACGTGTCACCCTCAAGCACCTCTCCTTGGACCTGCGCTCAGTGGAGGAGACACCTGTCCCCGAGGCCACCCACGCTCTGCTCTTCACCAACGCGTGGCTGGAGGAGGTGAACAGCAGCTGGGCCGGAGCTCCCCTGCACACCTGCCTGGTGGCCACTGAGAACGGCGTCACCCCACTGCCGTGGAGCCGGATTGCCACGCCTGAGTTCACCGACAAGCCCAGGGCTGGAGCTGACGCTGTGCCCACTGGTGCCCAGCATGAACCTGCTCCTGAGACTGCACGTGGCACACCTGTGCCCCCTGGCACAGCAAATGTCCCCATGCCCTACAACAACATTGTGGGCACCATCCCAGGCTGCAAGGCAACCTCTCGGAAGTCAAGCCAGGGACGATACCCAGGACTGATCAAGGTGGAGCAGGCAGGTCTGCAAAAGAAGCCGGCCACGCTGGCTGTGCCCAGCCTCAGTGAAATCATCAGCCAGAACCTGGAGGGGGAGTATGTGGACCTGCTGGAGCAATCCCAGGAGGACTTGGACGTCCTGACCAGATCCCTGTGGCCCACCTGCCTTCCAGGGCAAATAAGGGTTGGGGCCGAGGAGACGCTCCCCTGGGTGAATGGGGGTTCAGGAGCAGATGCCTGGCCCTGTGGGGGAGCACTGAGCTCAGAGGAGAGTCCCTGCAGCCCATGCCTGGAGAGGAAGCTGAGCCAGGAGCCAGGGCCGCATGGCCCAAAGTGCCGCCAGCGTGACTCCTACATGGCTGCACTGCAGAACCCGGTGAGCTTCGGCTCTGGGCTGATGGCAGCCATCCTGGAGGAGCCGGACAGCCCTGGCTCCGAGCTGCCCCCTGCCACCCCCCGTGAGACCCCTGCACAGCACAGGAAGGGGGCTGGCAGCCCCATGCTCCCCCCCCGCCAGTCCCGCCGAGCGACTCCTGGGGTGCCGGGGCGAGGGGGGTTGGTGCAGCGGGGCAGCCCCCGGCTCCCCTCAGGTTCCAGCCACAAGTTCTCCTTCCTGAAGGGCGCGCGGCTCGGGGCAGCCCCCGAGGATGAAAGAGTCAGCAGGCAGCACGAGGGGGCCTGGAAGAAGATGTCGGCCATCTACTCACCCAGGATGGGCAGAGCCAGGGCAGCAGGGAAAGGTACCATCCTGTGGGGCTGCGGCACCTGACCAGGCACTGCTGGGGCTTTCCTATTCCTCTGCTTCGCTGAGTGTCACCAGCTTCCCTCTCCTCTACCCCTGTGCCCAGGTACGAATGCAGCCACTGCTGCTCCCGTGGAGGAACGGTCTCTGGAAAGTTCCAGCTGCAAGAATGGTCCCTCTGTGCCCAGCACTGGCACTGCTGGTCGGGAGCCTCCAGCCTGGCAGGACCTGCACGCTGGGCTGCTGCGCTCAGGCATCATCTGCCTGCCAGGTACTGCTGGCACTGCAAGCCTGGGGAATGGGCGGGATGGAAATACAGGCTGCTGGAGAGGGTGTTTTGGAGGAAGGTTTCAGGGCTTTGCTGGAGGCCAGAAATACTCCAAGCGGAAAATTTTTTTTTCATCTGGGCAAAAACATTAAAAACATAAATGCAGGCAGCCTGTGCAGAGCAGCTGCCCGGGTCCCAGCCGCCCCAAGCCCTCCCACACCATTCCTCTCCAGTGAAGCTGTTCAGCTTTAGCTGCCAAATACTAAACATTTGGCTCCTTCTTTTTCCCAAGAACCAAAAAGCAGTAACAAACCCCATCTTTTTCTCAGGAAAAACGTCTCCAGCAGCTCTGGAATTCCAGACATGCATGCCAAGAGCCTCCCTGGGCTGGCTCTCCCCCTCCAGAAGGGCCAGAGGGGCTGCACCATGGCAGGCTGAGCTGAGACAGCACTGATGGTTACCCCAGCCCATTGTGGGGTGCTCAGGTCTGGCAGGTGGCTGCCAGAGGGGTCACTCACCCTTTGTCCACAGGGAGCTCGGACAGGTTGGGCAGGGCCCTCCTCCTGGTGACCACCAGTGGCAGTGCCTGGCGGGCTGCGTGGTGCTCAGCTGCCGAGCTGGCAAGGCTCATCCTCTGCCTCTGCTCCCTGCCCAGGTAAGAGCCAGCAGGACCTGCCAGTGACCCCCAGCTGCTGCCTGGCTCAGGGCTCCCAGGATAAGTTGGGATGGATGCCCAGCATCCCACACACTCTGGTTTGGGCTCATCCCCAAGGTCCCTGGAGCATGCCCCTGCCAGAGGCACATGCTCTGAGCCCTTGGCAGGGACATCCCACAGGGATGAGGCCACTGCCTGTGGCTGTGGGTTCCACCTGCCTGGGGGTGCAGAATGTGGGAGGGGGCTTTGAGAGGGCCCTGCCCCAGGGAAGGACCCCCACTCCTGCTGTGTTTCCCCTCGCTAGGCAAGAAGTGAAGAACAGTGAGAGGCGAGAAGCGAAGGATGTTGGGCTGACAGTTGTGGTGGATGCCAGGAAGCAGCCGCCCGCTCCCGTCCTATTCTCAGCCCTCCGCTCCGTCCAGGTACGCCAGGCTCTGTGTGCCAGGCTCAGCCACAGACATGCCAGGGCTGTCCCTGCCTGGAAGGGAGTGCTGCCACCCTTTGGGGGTCCCTCAGAGCCTCCCTTGTGCCCAGTCTCCATGTGATCTTCAAAGGTCCCTTCTGAGCCCTGCCATCACCCGGCAGGTGTCACCAAGAGCCCTCCAGCATCCTGATATGAGAATTCATCAGGAAATGGGCTCCAAAGTGACAATCCACTGTCATGGCAGAGTCCTTGTGACAGTGCCCAGGCAGTGCCACAGGAGTGCCCTGTGCTGTCCAGGGGCTGTGGGGTCCCCCCGACACAGCACCTTTTGTCTTTGTATGCCCAATAAAACCCACGTTGGCCCTGATGCTGCTCACATGGAGAAGTGTCACTGGTGTCAGAGAAGGGGTTCACTCATGAGGCTCTTCCCATGGCCCTTTGCCAGGGAGCTGGTGGCTGGGACAAGGACATGGCCTAAGGGATGTGTTTCCATCTCCCACAGCAGTGAGAGTGGGAGCCTTTTCCTTTGCAATGAGCTCAGCAGCCTCGGCTGACCCAGGAAAGCCCCACACTGCCATGGGTGACCTGAGGGCTGCGTGTGGGGTGTGCCCTGGTGATTCTCCCCTGCCTCCCACAGAGTGTGTCTCCAGGCTGCATTCACAGCATGCTGCTCCTGGCCGAGAAGGAGCTGGTCTCCCACCGTGAGAAGCTGCCTGGGGTGCAGGTGAGCCTGTCCCTGTCCCCTGAGCTGGTGCAATAGGAGGTTATTTCCTGCTCAAGGCAGCCTTACAAGCCCTGTGCCCTGCAGGTGGAGACTCTGACATCGCTGAAGGCTCTGGGCCGCCACATCGACAGCTCCCAGCTGCCCCCAGAGCTGGACGGTGCCTTCCCCTACTGCCACGGCGAGTGGGTTCAATTCTTCCAGGTGTCTGTTACAACGCCATGAGCCATTGCCTCACCTTCCCCGTGTCCCTCTGTCCCCATTGTGTCTTACATGTCTCACACACATCCCTGGAAAAGCAGCAGGATGGGCTGGGAGAGGGGAATGAATAGGAAAGGTCTGAGCACAGGAGGGTCAAGCTCCTTCTTACATGCTCCTGCCTGCAGCTGCCCATCCACCTCCTCACCCCCCTCCTCATCAGCTTTTAACCCAGTGCCTCACAGTATTTCCTGCTCTATCCTGGCACTTCTCCTCCTCCTCCTCCTTCTCCTCATGGCCCCACTGACCCATGGTGTGTGTCCCCCACAGAAGCTGCAGCCCTTCACAGCCAGCCTCAGGCGGGCATCAGAGCTGCTGCAGCGCTGCATCCAGGAGCTGCGGAACACCGATGCACTGGCTGGGACACAGGTAAGAGGGTGGCAGCACCACAGGTTGGGGACATTCCCAACGTGCCCATCTGCAGTGCAGCCACAGCAGCATTTCCCTCCAGTTCCCCAAAACTTGGCATAACCGTTCCCAGACTGGCTGCTCCTGGCCATGGGGCTGTTCCCAGGAGCAGCCCCAGGTACCCATCCTGTGCTGGCTGAGTGAGGCCCCGGGTGAGACATTGTCTGACCCTCCCTTCCTGCACAGGATGCGGCTGCGGGCATCAGGAGGCACCAGGAGCTGATGCAGGAGGTGCTGAGTGACCCTCAGCTGGCGCGGGTGCAGCGCGAGGGGGGGTTCCTGCTGGCCAGGCTGCACAGGGAGGCCGCCCACCTCTGCTCCTCTGACCACGCCAGGTAGGACAGGGCAGTTCTGCTGGTCGGGGGGTGCCTGTGCCAGGGATCCCCGCTCCTGCTGGCTGACAGAGCCGCCTCCCCATGGACAGCCTGGTCCCCATGAGCCCGAGCTACTGCCATGCTCTGTCCTGCTCTGGAAGCATGGACCACAGGTCTGGGACAGCCCATTGCAGGAGTCCCCTCATCCTCACTGGTGCCAGATCCCTGAGAGGGTCTCCTGCCCCAGGTCTGTCACTGCTCTGCAATGCAGCGGTGCCTTGGGCTGGGCTCGGGAAAAGCCACTAGATGGGGCCAGGTCCTGGCCAGCTGGGCTGTGCTGGGCTCCTCTGGCCATGCCGTGATCGTCCGGTGATGTGCACTTGTCTGGCCGTGCCACACTCATCCAGTGATGTCACAATCTGGCCGTGCATGGCTCCTCTGGCCATGCTGTAGTCATCCAGTAGTGTCACCCCCACCTGGCCGCGCCATGCCCATCCCGCGATGCCGTAATCTGGCCGTGCTGTTACTCACCCAGCCGTGCTGTAACGGGGCCGTTCCGTGCTCACCCGGGGATGTCGCTGTCGGCCGGGAATGCTGCACCCATCCGGTGATACCGCCCGTGGTCCGTGCAGACAGCGCTGACCCCCTGCTCCCTCCTGCTCCCTCCTCTCAGTGGGGCTGGGCTGCACTGACAGACGGGGCTCTCCCATCCCGTGCTCCCTGCCATCCGTTTGCTCCATGGGTTGGGAAGATGTCCAGGTGCCTGCAAGGCTGGGGTCAGGAGCTGTGCAAGAGACCTGCTCCCCTCCACCTTGTGCATCTGTGAGCTCACCTGGCAGCGCCTGGCAGTGACAGTCCCTCTCCTCCCAACCCCCAGGTTCGCTATGGAGTTGGCTGAGGGGCTGTATAGTCAGCTGGAGGAAGAACTTCACAACCTCGTGTCCCAATCCAACAGCTGCCTGGAGCACCTGAAGTTCCTCCGCAAGGTCCGGGAGCTCGAGACTGAGTTTGGCAAGGTGAGCTGGGTGTCCCTGGGGTGCCACAAGTTGAACTTGCCTTCCGTGGTGTTCTGTGGTTGAGTGTTTTGGTCACGTTTCCTTTATTTTGATGATGATAGAAGCCTGGAGAGTGGCAGGATTGCCTGAGCTTTGATTTTCATTATGGGCGTCTGAGCCTGGGCTGGGATGCGGAGCCGGGGCAGGAAGGGGAGGTGCTGTGGACACGCTGCTGCTGTGGCTGGTTCCACCTGATCCCTGTTCTGCTCTCTCACAGCTGGGGTCCTGGCTGGATGGGGAGGCAGCAGCTCGGCTGCAGGAGATGGGCACCGAGGATTGGAGTCCTGACAGCTGCCAGGGCTCTGCCGAGCACTTCAAGGAGTTCCTCACCCAGGCCACAGTATGTCTGGAGGGGCTTTTCTGTAACAGACAACCCATGGGATTGGAAAAGGCTTCTGGGAAGAACTGGGTGTCCCCGATCTGTTGAGTCACATTGCAGTTGTCAAGCTCAGCACTGTGGGGACTCTGGGCAGTCCTGCTCCAGTGAGGGGGTGGCTGTGCCGTTCCTTGATGTGTGCTGGGCTGGGATTGCTGTCCCCAACACCTGCTGCACTCCATCCTTTTTCCTACAAAGCCTGGGCATCCATCAGACAACAAACATTATGATGAGGATCTTTGGGTTCCCTTGGATGTGTAGACCCTTTAGTCACATGCACTGCAGGGAGGGTGAGGCATGGTGACCCCACTCAGGACAGGAGGTGCATTTAGTGCATTTGGAACCAGGCCAGGGCAGAGCAGATATTTGGAGAATCCCATTGCTTTGTTTCTTCTCACTTGCCCAGAAGTGTTTCCCATCCATCGGTAATGGTGATGGATGAGCTAATGGCGATGCCAAGTTCTGCCTGCAGCGCGTCACGCTGTGCACATATCCCAGGTCAGCACCATTCCCAAGTGTGGAGCTGTTCCTTCCTCCTGTCCCTGCAGGCTCGGTACCAGCATGGCCTGACCCTGTGCCAGGAGGCGGCTGAGGTCCGAGCCATGACATTCCCTGAGGCAGATGCCTTCCAAGTGTCTGCAGCCCTCTTCCAGACAAAGCTGATGAGCTTCTCCAAGCAGCTGGAGCGGCGGCAGGCAGAACGGGAGCTGCTGCAGGAGCTCGTCCGGTTCTCCAACAAGGTGGGTGAAGGGAATCTCACCCTGCAGGACATGGTGCTGCTGGTGGCCATGAAAACAGCCACTCCTGTCTTTCGTAGGTGGCGGGGCTGAAGCTGGACTGCCGGCAGTGCTCGGCCCGGGCGCAGCGCGGGGAGGGTCAGGCACTGCGGTGCCTGCAGAGATCCTTCCAAAAGCTCTCGGTGGAGTTCGCCCTGGAGAAGCTGAAGGAGATGAAGGCTCAGGTGCGCAGGATGCAGAGCAGCCACGGGTTGGCAGCCTGGACAGAGGCACAGCACAGGTACCAGGAGACCCGGCAGGTCCTGGAGGAGATGCTGGCAGAACTGCAGGAGGCCTGGGGAGCACAAGCTGACGGGCAGGGAGACTCCTCCAGCCCCCCCAGCGCAGGGTCTGCAGCTCCTCACATGGAAGTCCCGGTGTGCAGAGCAGCCCCCAGCCCTGAGCCAGCAGTGTTGGGGGGCAGGGGGTTGGCAGAGCAGCCAGAGACCAGCACTGAGGGGCCGGGGCAGTCCCCGTCCAGCACCACTCCTGGCTCCACACTGGGTGTGGAGCAGAGCTCTCTGCAGCCCCACTGCCAGCTGGGGCCTCAGGGTGCCCGCACCTCTCACCACCACATCTCTGCTGACACCCCCCATCCCAAACCCAAGAGCAAAGCCAGCCTGGGGGTGACAGGACACCTCACCCAGGAGCACAGCCAGCCCCCTCGGAGGCGTCCCTTCTCCCTGCCTCCCTGGACATGCTTCCCAGGTGCTGACCCACCATGCCCTACTGCTGTGCCCCATGGGACTGCCTCAGATCCCAGTACAGCTGGTGCACCAGTGGGGCCCCGGGCAGAAACTGCCCAGTACTTCCAGATTTCCAGCCAGAGCAGTTTCTCCTCTGAAGACTCAGATTCACAGAACTCCATGGAAGAAGCCCCAGCAGCAAGCCTGGCTTTGCCTAGGGACCTCCAGAGTCCCAGACAACCCTGCCCATCTGAAAAAGCCCACCAGATCATTTACCTGGAGAACCACCACACTGAAAGTTCAGCTAAAGCAAATGCCAAGTAACCAGTTCCTCCAGTTGGAGCTGTTTCTGTCTGGCTGCATAAGTCTCAATAACAGACTGGATGAGACTTCTCATGCTCAGAGGTGGGATGCTGGAACTTCTTACCCCACCCTCAGTCCCAGAATCTTTGGTTCCCTGTCCTTAGCGCTCTTCCTGCCATGGATCAGCAGTAATTCCATCACCAGCTCACAGAGTTCATTCACAATCTACCGGATGTGTAGCAATCCTCCCATAAAGTGCCTTTATCCCTACCAGTGCCAGCCTTGTCTCAGGCAGTGGGGAGGGTTCCCACATTGGAAGCTGTGCCTGGAACATCCCAGGGGACTGCAGACCTGTGAGATGTTCCTGTCACTCGCTGTGCTCCCTGCTCCACTGGATGGTTTCACCATTCCTGTGCTGCTGCTCCAGCCCTGGCTGAGCCTCAGCAGTGGGCCCTGGGTTTGTGTGTGCTCATTAATACGGGACTAACTCCATTAACATTAATAAACCTGAAGAGAAACATCTGGATGGTCCTCATGGAGGAGAGTGAGAAATTATGTCCCACTGAGAGCCGGCTGCTGGGGTCCTCACCCAGGTTCCAGCTGCTCCTACCACCCCAGCCTAGTCCAAGAATGTCCCCTGTGCTCCCTACATGGGCTGTGCCCTCAGCCTGGCTCTCCTGCTTGCTGCCAGCACCTTGGCCCTGCTCAAAAGACCCTTTTGTAAAGGTTAAGTGCCTCAGTCTCCTGCTCTCCCTCCCAGCAGATGAGCAGAGTGGTGTCATCCTGCCCAGCCTCCCCCCTCTGTTTTGGGAACGCGCTGTCCTGAAGCCTTTGGGACCCGTTTGGTGTGGGTGCGACCTTGCCAATCCCAGTCCAAAGCAGCCTGGGGACCCCAGAGACCCTGTCCCCGCTGGCACGTCCCTGCTCTGCCCGTTTGGGCAGCCGGGAGCGGGTGATGGCAGGCGGGACCCTGGCTGGCAGGGCCAGGCTCTGGCCGGCCGCCCCCCCGGGCAGGCACAGCATGAGCTAATCAAGAGACATCAGAGGAGAGGCGATCTCTGCCTTGGAGGCCGTTCCAGAAAAACACACAAAACACACTCCTCCTCCCAGCCCGGTCACGGCTCGCACCCCGCGGGACGCTGCGCCTCGGCAAAGGGCACTGCCCATCCCAGCCTGGCTGAGCATCACTCATACCCCCCTCAGCCTTGTTTTTGCCAGATCCCGAAGCCAAGCCCCGCTGAGCTCCTTTCGGCCCCAGCTGCCCCCCGCGGGCTCCACGCTCTCCTGTCTGGGTCATTTCTGAGGCATTAACGGGACCGACCCCGGCCCTGCCCTGCGCTGTCACAGGTCCTCTGCCTGTCACCACTCCCGGTCCTGCCCAGTTGTCTGCTCTTTACTTCTCTCTACAATTTTTGTAGACTCCATCTTCCCTAGCTCAACACTGATTTCTCTACTGGCAATTCTGTCCCTGCTCCACTGAAATCCTGGTCACTGGGTCCATCCCATTCCTTTTGGTTTAAAAGCTGTAGTCATAGAGAACCCGGACAGGTCTGCACAGCCTGTCCTGTGCAAGCCTTGAGTTCGTTCCATTCTCCAATAATGCCACATCCTGAGTGGCACCAAGGTCACCGAGCCAGGACATTTCTACCTCTTGATGATGTGTCTGCTCCCCATGCCCATGCCCTACAGCTGAGTGTGCCCATGTGGCCAGTGCAAGCTGTGCCCACCTGGATGGGACCCAGCTCACTGCCACAGCCAGAAATCTTTTCTCCCTCCAGCATCATTCCAAGCCAAGCCTGACAGTTCCATTGCTCAGTTTTCCACTCTGTTGAGAACTGATCTGCTGTATCCCTCCATTACAGCTTTTAGTTTGGAGAAATAGTACTTTCCAGCAAGAAGGAGAGTCATTTTTCAAACCAGATGGAATTATGATTCTTCTGAATAAAGCAAACAATGACTTTCCTGTTGTTTTCTTTTTCCATAAGTCAAATAAAAAAAGGATATTTTGCAAATCCTGAGTTTAACCGATAACAAAAAGGGGAATTTCCGGCCTGTGGCTGGAGGGTGAATCGTTTCCCTGGAAGGGTCCTGTTCACTCAAGAGTCATCAGCCCCCACAGCTGAGTGGGCATACCCAGATTCCTCCTTCCCTCCTACCAAAATGTGTTTTGCAACATTCTGCAAAAATTTTCTTATCTCCGCTGATCCTTTAGCACATGATTTATGACTCCAAAGTTTGACCAATTAAGCCATAACCTTTCCAGGAGGGCAAGTACAGGAGTTAATCAGTGTCTCCTTTCCCTCGTGAAATGGCAAAATCATTTGTCAGGGGCTGGCAGGGATCCAGCAGTGTGGGCTGGTCAGGGTCTGGCAGTGCCAGGGTGCAGAGCACCCTCCAGCCTTGGAGGGAAACTCCCACAAAACCCTGGGAAATATTTTTTTTCCAAAGGAAAAAGGGTTGAAAAGCTCAGAGAAGTGGAGGGCACATGGATCAGGCCCAGATCCCAGATCCCAGCCCCAGGGAATGACCTCTTCCCCATGGCAGTTCCTGGGTCAGCCGTTCCCGCTGTGGTTCCTGAGCCTGGCTCCAGCAGAGCAGACAGTAATGGGTGGCACAGAGCAGGGAGCTCCAACCAGAGACAGCCACGGCGCTCTTCTTCCTCCTCCTTCTACTCCTCACCACCAGATC